GCCACAGGTGCCCCACGGCTGGTGATGTGCGATTTCCGTGCTTCCTGAGGGTGATTCTGGAAGGCATCCGTGAGTGAGTTGGTAGACGGGGCAAGGGAGACCGGCTCCCCATCTGGGTGGCATCACCAGGTCCTGGAGGGCGTGAGTAGAACAGAACCGCAGAGGGGGGCGGATGTGTACCCATCTTCTCCTGCCCGTTTCCGGCTCTCAGACGTTCAAGCTCAGACGAGGACGTCCGCCACGGGCTCCCTACTTCCCCGGCCTTCGAGTCTGCACTGGAACAACACCCCGGCTTGCCTGGGCCCCAGCTTTCAGGCGGCAGAGTGGAGGACGTGGCCGCCTCCATGATGGCTGGGGCCCACTCACTCCCACAGTAACCTCTCTGTGGTATCCGCTGTCCTGTGGGTCCGCTTGGCAGGAGAGCCCCAACTACCGCGCAGCCTGGGCCGGGCTTCTTCCCTGGGCCACCGTCACAGCTCTGGATGGCATCAGGCCCTGGGCAGGAGCCTGGCGGGGGACCCAGGGGGCGGGGAAGCGGGGCAGAGGTTCCTCAGCCTCTGCTGCCATCCTGGAAGTTGGGCTGAGGGCCTGTGCCACTCAAGCTGACCCGATATGCACAAGCAGCTGTGGGTCTGAGCTGATGTAAATGGCAGGACTGGAGCGACTACCTGAATCCTCCTGGAACCCACTGAGACGCCATCTCGTTCCCATGGGGACGCCACTTGCTCTGTATTCTGCCACTTTCAACACTGTCACCATTCACTTCTGAGAGGACAAAGGCCTCTCTCACCCACTGCAGGCCTTATAAGTCTCACACAAGACTGGTTGTGCTTCCTGTGTGTCCCAAAGGCGCCTGCCTTCTCAGCATGACACTGGGGGTCTGGGGAGGGTTTGACGGTCATTTTACTCATTCACCAAGCAATCCTTGTGTGTCAGCCAAGTCTCTAGGGCCCTGGGATAGCACTGGCTCCAACCAGCCCATGTTACAGATTTCGGAACCTTGGCACAGAGCTCTGGAAGCTGAGCTCGGAGCTGGGGACCAAACAGTTACCACTCAGAGGCCCATGCAGACCTCTGTGGGCCCAGAGTATGCGTGCCCAGGTGAGGAAGTGGTGGGTAGAGGTGCCAGTGCAGGCTGGGCTTGGGTGCTGCAGACTGTGTCCTTGGCAGACCAGCGCTGGAGTCACACTCTTGCCTCAACTGCCCGTGAGGAGAAGCTCAGGTCCCGGGCTCAAGAGAGGAGCTGGCCTGGCCCAATGGACGAGCCTTTCCCTCAGCTGCTTTCAGTCAGCGCCCCAGAGGTGTTCTCCCCTGACACACACGCGCACAGACACACACAGCCACACCTATGTCACGTACATGTGCACAAATGCATATGAAGGGCACACATCCCATGTGCACACCACACATGTACAACATATTTATACAGCACAGCACGTACAAACCATCCACCCACACCCCAACTACACACACTTCTCTGAGTGAAGGCCCATGCCTGAAGGCTTCTGAGGGCTTGGTGACGAGCCCAGGGCCCACACCCTTGTGGTCCTTTCTCAAACCTGATGACCTGTCCCTCTCACCTGACTCGTTTCATACCTGCTTGGTAGCGGGATGTCTTTTAACTTTTAACCATGAGTGTCTGTTAGAGCTTTGATTGTGAAGGGACCAAGATCTAGTCCCTGACCAAATACTGCTGAGAGACAGACTCGACATTTTGGTATCTTTCGTGAAACTGCAGGTGAAGACGTCGCTCACCGCGTCACTCAGGGTCCTTTACACAAGGATCCACACTGATGAATTCTGGCCTGTGTTTAGTACCAGGAAGAAGTTCTATTTCTGTGGATAAATTAGTTCATATGCTCCCTGCTGTCAGAAAAGGAAAACGATGTAACTGTGGGTGCTTCTCGTTTTGCTGAGTGGCCAGACAAGGGCAAACCAAATTTATGGCTGGTGCCTGTAATTTGCTCAGCGGTCGGTTCCAAAAGCACTTACTCCTTCTCCTTCTTTTAAATGGACTTATTTTATTTTATGTTCAAATGTCTCATTGTACTTGTGCAAGATGTGTGAGTCTGCAGGCCACCTGGGAAGCATTCGTTTGCCCACGAACTTGGCCTCTTTATTGCTTATGCTGGCTGCTGGGGCAACGAAGACGAATTTGACTGCACCTGGCTTTGCAGGGGAGAGGAGCGGAGAGCTTTAAAATCATCAGCAAACAAGGCCGGAGTGCCAAGCAGTGCCCATGCCTGGAGGGAGAGCAGCAGGGTGAGGGGGTCTGGGGAGGCAGCCTCCACAGAGGGTGGAGGTGGAATGGGTTTCGTGGTGACACTAGGAAGAGGAAGGCTATTGTTTAGGCCTGAATTTGAAGAGGGCATTATCCGTGTCTGTCTCCGTCCTGTCGTCCTCCTTAGACTGTGGACTCTGAGGGCGACCCTTGTGCCGCTGCCCCACTGCGGACTCCGAGATTCTGGGCCGAGTGCCCTGGGCAGAGCGGTGTGGTGGCCGCACACAGGCTCTGAGCTGAGCGAGGCCAGGCAGGGCTCCTGCACCCTCAGGGCCTGAGCTGCAAAGCGAGGAAAACAATGGCGTCTACCTCAAGTGAATGCTGTGAGTGCTAAGAGGAAAATGCACACAGAGAGCTTATAATCCTGTCTGGCTCACCGTAGAACACTCCAGAAACGCTGGCTGATCTCCTAGACAAGATCATGTACGGAGTACGACAGAGCAGTAGGGCAAAGCGCCCTCGACTGTCGATTCCACTTGATGCCTATGTTAAAGTACTTGTTTGATTGTTTCCCAAAGCCGCATGGGAGTCAGTCCTTTTCCAAGTCCGTCAGTACCTCCTGCTTGCTGAAGATGTCCTCAGAACTGGCCACGGACGCTTCTACCAAAGGGCAACCTCAGCACCGGCTGTCACACCCGGGGCACTTGCAGGGTCCCTTCTGCTCCTCCTGCCCATCCCCTGTCTTCATTCATTTCCCTGTCCACTGATTTTCAAAAGAACCTACACTCAGTAGGTGTTTATGTGTCAGCAGGCAGGCGGTAAGTGAGGAGACAGCTATGGACTAGGTTTTCAGCCAGGAAAGGGAGTGGAAGTCCTTGTGAGGGGACGTGGGCATGCGTGTGTGTCTGGGTGTGCACACACAGACAGACACACACCCCAAAGTGGCTTGGAAAGGGGTACTGTCAGTGTGCCAGTGGCGTGGTGACAAATATTCAACAGCCACTTTCTGAAAACAAAAGGGTGCATTTATAACATTTGCCAACTTCCGGGGTGCTCGTTGGTTCTCCCACAGTGGCTGATGTCAAGCTGTGAGTGTGACAGCATTGGAACTCGGGAAGGGACACAGGGCACCCACCATCCTACGGCGTCCCCACTCTGCAGATACAGGGTACGTCGCTAACGCCCCGGACATGGACAAGAGTGAGATACAGCAAGTTAATTAGGAAGCGATGATGGCTGAGTATTTGTTGCCATTGTTTAAGGAGTAAAACTTACTTCTGAGCTTACATAACTTGATTTTTCGTGACAACTGTGTTTAATTGTGGTTCCCTAAGTTCCTGAAATGTTCAGAGTCAACTCCTCTACTGTGGACCAGCTACATATGGCCCCTGGCACCAAATCACCACCCTCCTTTTGTCCCTTCAGCAGCCCTCTGTCCCTCTGAGGCGTGGAGTTGTCTCTGTACGGATTCCTCTGGCACGAATCCGCTACACACACAGGGCTGTGTTCTTAGGAGATCAGGTGGCAGCCTCTCCTGCCTGAACCCAAACATCTTCTCCGCTGACCCCCGCCCCCAACCCCACCACACCTAGACGGAGCCTTAGGAACATCGGACAGAGTAACAAGGCAGATACTTAATGTGGAAAGCAGGAAATCCGAGGTGAGAGAAAACACAGGGCACAGAACAAAGAGGGGAAAAAAGTGCCTGAGAAAGACACAGAAGTGGGACACCACGCTCAGTCCCCTCTCTATTCCTGCCTCTGAAGCCCAGTGGCAGAGGCCAGGCTGTCCCAAAGGCCCCGGAGCTGCCTTGGCCTTGCAGAATGCTCTGTCTCGGGCTTCAGCCCCATCACCAGTGACAGGATTGGGAGGGGCAGGAAACAGTTTCATGAACCAACAGCTGCAGAACAGGGCGGCTCTCCCCATCTGCAGCGTGGTCACCTGGGACACGGGGCACCAGTGGGGGCTCCAGATGGCACCAGACAACCTCCTGAGGCACTGGGGAGGCAAGCTGGCATTTTACCCCCACATGGCAGCTGGGAAACGTAACACTTCGACTAATTGGGATGCAGCGTGCTCTTAAAGCAGTGCTCTCGGTGAGCCTTTCAGCTACTGCACTTTCCTCTGAAGCCTGCTGATTACTTCAGGCAGACGGGCTTTGACCCTCACGCCTGTTGTGATGCTGATGCGGATATGAAGAGGCGCCCAGGAGAGGAGTGGAGGAATTCTTCGGGCAGAGACTAGTGACTGAGAACACACAGCCACCCTTCAAGGGACCAGGGAGAGCCTATCCCACTGGGACGGATCCGCCCAGGGGCAGCGAGGAAGGGGCACCCCTTTCCCTGAAAGCCAGGGCCTTGCTGACCAGGCCAGAGGCAGAAACTGCCCTTGGAGTCGAGCAGCACTTTTCACATAAGGGAGCCAGTGTCCTGCAGGTGAGAGAGGAGACCAGATGTGGCAGCCCTCTGGGATGACTCTGCCCCCAGTGACCTGCCCTGCTGAGTGTGGGGCCAGACTTGCAGGCCCTAAAGGTACCTGGCACGACGTCCCAGAGAAGGCATGACATCCCAGAGAACCCAGAAAGGCGTGCTATGCGCCAGCAACAGGAGGGCGCATGGCTTGGACCCTTAGTCCCCAGGTCAGCAGTGTGGCTTGAGCTCACATTGTCCTCTGCGCATTGTTCAAAGAGAACCACACACCCCTTCTGCCTTCTGGGTCCTTCCGGGATGACCTTGTGGCCAGGTTGCCCCTCCCTCCTGCACATGGGCTTGGTACTCACCGAGGGCCACCTGCTGCATGTGCCGCTGTGTGATGGTGTCCTTCAGGTGACCTGCCCGAGAAAGAGGAAAGTGTCAGTGAGTTTCCAGAGGGCTGAGGGAGACCTTGCCTTGGAAGCCTGTGGCTGGCTAAGGAGAATGAGAGCGAGGGAGACACAGGCACGGGGGCTCTGGGAGCTGGAGGACGCCTGCTTCACCTCGGGGCTCTGTCCTCTCAGGGTTCGAGGGATCCAGAATCTTGGCCACTCATCATAGCCAGGGCCCTGCTCTCTTGAGCAGTTTTTTTCATCGTGACTAATGAGCGGTAGGCAGGATACGGTTTTTAATAGCTTCTAGTGTGAAATCTACTTCTTTCTTTGAGCTGTACGAAACCGTCAGATAAAAGAAGATAGTAGCAGCTTTCCTCGATGATAATCTCAGCGGCCCATCATTCGGTATGAATTTTATGTACTTTAATAGCTTCTAGTGTGAAATCTACTTCTTTCTTTGAGCTGTACGAAACCGTCAGATAAAAAAGATAGTAGCAGCTTTCCTCGATGATAATCTCAGCGGCCCATCATTCGGTATGAATTTTATGTAATTCCTGGTGGATTAGTAAAGCTGTAGCGTGGAGATCAGGGGGGGTGACACCCCTGGACTGTGTAATGGCGAGGCCACAGTTGGTATTTATTGCAGAGGTGCCTTCATGAGAAACATCAGCAAAACAGAACTAATCTGGAAGGTGGAGGGAGTTACGTCATAGGAGAAATATGGGAGGTGACCTAAGATGGTGATATGATGAAGGGAAGACTAGGAGGGTGAGGAAGTACAGAGAGGGGCTGTCTGTGGATATCTGAATGTTTCCATATGGAGGAGAGAATAGGTTCTCTTTTGGAGGTAGGGTCTTGCTATGTCGTTCAAGCTGGCCGTGAATTTAGCTGTGACCCTCCTGCCTCAGCCTTGTGAGCGCTAGGACTATCGGCGTGCACCACCACACCCAGTTTAGAATAGATTTATTTTCCCCTTTGTCCGAGGGCAGAGGTCAAATGAAGGACGGCAGGCTGGGTCTCCCTGTGGGGAAGCAGCAGCTCACTGGTGCCGAGTGGGTTAAATTGTCTCAAAGTGGCCTCAGTCTGGCACGCAAGGGCCCCTTCTTTCGAGCGCTGAGCAGAAGCTGTGACCATGTACAGGGCCATCAGAGTGGGGTTTCCGGCTCGAGTGGGGCTCTTTCTTCCCTAAGCCCCGTGATTTTGTATGCGAGAGACTGAAACTGCAGCCTTGGGTTGTTTATGGCCAGGACTCGGACACCAGTAAAAAGTAAAAGTGTCAGCGCTGTCTGCTCCCTCGCCTGGCTCACCCGGCTGGCGGAGGAGGTGTGTGTGACCAGCCCCTAGGGTGAGTGGAGCCCGGAACATCACCAGCCCTTGCCTGATGCTGTTCTTTCCTCGTGGAAGTACATTCTCAGAGCTCGTTTGGAGGTTCTAGTGGGGGAGCACAGCTACCCATACACCTTTGACCCAGGAAGCAGTGCTCCTTTATCAGGGGTGGTCGTCCTCCTTGACCGACCGAGTGTGCAGTTTTGGGAGGGACGCACATGGAACGGCGAGGGAGGGGACACCAGGACATTAGGACCTGGAGGATGTCAGGGGTCACTCAGGTTTCTCCTCACCCAATGTGGGACCCCCTTCTACAGAAGAAAATCGGCCTTTCCTCTCCAGCTTGTGTGCACTGGGCTGTTCCTAGGACGAAGTCTCCTAGAAGGAACTGCTTATGTGACTTCCGGCTCCTGGGGCTGCTCAGTCCTCAGGATCAGCATGCAAGAGGCCCTCCATCCTTGGCAGGGTGCGCCCCCCACTTGTGCAGGATGCTACGGTGCCTCCAGTTAGACTTGTGCTCTCTGGGCCCTGGGGAGAGGGCACTTGTCCTCCAAGCGTGCCATCGGCTAGGGTGAGGGCCCGGGGGCACTGCTTCTGCCTTCCATGTGTCCACTGGGGGAGATTTTGCATAGAGATGAAGCCAGGAGTTGGGGCTAAGCAAGAATTGCCCTCATTCTGAGTGGGGCCGAGTGGAAGCTTCGGGAGTAGGTGAGGGGTCTTCAGGAGGTGGGACCCGGCTCACTGAGCAGTACTACTTGCCTGGAGCCAAGAGGACCTGACCTGACACGGGGCCAGCCACGGTCACATGGCCTCACCCTTGTCTCCACAGAGGAACAGAGCAGCTCAGAATGCAAGGTTTGTGCTAGGCTGAGACTCCAATCTGCACCAAGCATGGCCTGCCTGATGGCATTTTCTTCACAAAGCACAAAGCACA